GGGGGGGGGGGTTGTTGAGTGTTGCAATGAAGTGCAGAGTTGTGGTGTACCTTTATAGAACCAACAGCTTTCATGGCTTGAATTAAAGGGAGTTGGTCTAATATTTTCTCCCCACCAACCGCTGATATTACTGTTTCTATCTGCTGCTCTTTCAGCAGTTTCTCCATTAATTCCCTATCATTTATCAGTCCCTATAAACACATGCAATTTTATGTCACTTATTGTACTGAAGAAAGAAACAAAGAGCAAATGAAGGTGTTTATTGAAAAAAATAAAAAAAAAAATAAAAAAGGGCGAATGAAGGTGAGTGATATTGCTATATTAGTAAGAACATAATGCTTGCCTTATAAAACATTTTTATAAAAACATTTTTACAAACTCGAGCTGCTATTTATATGATTGACTATTTTTAATAAGTGTGTTCATGGGTTTGTAAGAAAGTTTTGAAAGAGAACATGTAAAATATCAATTATCCAAAGGAAAAGGAGAGAGTAGAAGGGAAAAAAGAGGAGTTTGAACATGTAAGACTATGGCGCCTTTGTCTTGGAATGCTTTGATGATTTTGGTCTTAGAAGGGTTGCCAGCAGAGCTTGGGCGGATGAGGATATAGGTGGGACGGCCGGAGTTAAGGCTGGCCTCTGTCACGAACTGACCAATGAAACCGGTAGCTCCGACTATCAGGACACGGCCCTTGGTGGTTGCTGAGGGGACAGCAGCAGTCATGGTCGCAGAGTTAAATACGAACAGTGCTGTGAAATGCTTGTTTTTGTGGAGAAAAGAGTTCACGTGTATGCTGCAACTCTCTTGAAAAGAAAAATTGGGAATAAAAATATATGTAAGGCTTGTTGTGGGAAAAGTATGTTGTAGTGTATATATATATATATCTTGGAAGACTGATGCCGCTGTTCTTAAAAGGAAAAATGTTTCAACTACTTTTCAAAGTTCAAAGTATAAATATATAAAAGTAATTGTCTTTCGGTTCCAATCGATTTGCTCCAAGTTTTAGGGCACCTAAATTAGTGGTTTGGACTTTGGAATGTACCAAACAAAAAAAAAATAATGGATTGGAGTTTCAAATCTTACTAATATTTTGAAAAAAAAAATTATTTTTTAAATTATAAATTGTTCAAAAAAATAAAAATATAAAAAAAAATTTGAATTTAATGATTTATTTTAAATTTAAATATTTAAATTAAATTAATTAACTATTTAACTTTTATCAATAACTTAAAAAAAAATTTCCTTTCGCACGTATTTCTCCGTGTTAAAAAAAAAAAGGTACAAATATATAAAAGCTGCAGAACTTTTTTCTTTGTTGAACACGAAAGGGAAATTTGGGGAAAATAAACATAATTATGACCTGAAATGAAATTTGTATTAATTTTTATGCGTCGAAAATTAAGATATAATAAAAGTAAGATATTAAGGTTTTATTTATTAATATTGTGTTATATTATAATTGTTAATATTTTTTATTTTTTTTATTTTAAAAATATATAAAAATTAATTAAAATTAATAAAATTATATAAAAATTAATTAAAAATTAAAATTTACATTTTAAAAATAAAGTGTCGTATAACAAACGAAGCCTATGATATACTGCACTCTATGTATGTGTGCGTGAAGACTTATAAGCGTGATGATCTTGTCTTTTAGTGGCGGAAGCAGAAAAGATTTCTAGAGAAGGCAAAATGAACATTGTTAAAGAAATGTACTATAATTGTACAAAAAAAAAAAGAAATGTACTATAATTATTGTTGTAGACTTGTAGGATAATGAGAGCAAGTCTCATTAGAGAATTACTAAGCCGCAATGGTAGTTCGCAAAATTCGGCTAGTAAGAGTAAAAATTATAGGTATTATGTGTGGTAATATATGGATAGTTTTTTTTATAATTTT